GAAAGCCTTGACATGAGCTGTTTCAGTGGAGAGGTGGGGGCAGAACCAAAACCGAAGCAGATTGAGGAGTGAATGGGACATGGCCAGTGGCCATAGGTGATGGGGAAAAGTCCTATGTGACCACAATAGCCTGTGTAGATGCTTGTTAAAATTAGCAAGGTGATTACATTTGGTCACAGACTTTTCAACAAGAAGCTGGGAACTAAACAAAAACCTAGCTTGGTTGTGTATTTACATCCGGTCAGAATCACATGATGGCTAAATTGATACAATACATGAAAGAGGTACAAATATTACTGGGTTCTCGCTGTAACCGGTGTATAAAACCTGCAAACACTGTGGGTAAAGTGAAGCACCACCATCTTGCTGAATGCATCCCAGAAAATCCTATAGGACCAAACAGAAAAGGAGAAAATCAGAGTTCTTAAGCAAGATTTAAGGGTCTCTTACCTTAAGGAATCCACTCCTCTGGCTTGTTGGTCTTTCTAGGGATTCTTAGAGGGAACAATGCTACCATCTTCCTGGACTGTGGCTTAGCAATAGGGCCCAGTCCTTCAAAACAATGTACTCCTGTTAGCCAGTGATTCCTTCCTGCTCGCCAACATGGACTGTATTCTTCTGGGAGAAGGTAGTTGAAGGATTCTTTAGCTAAACCATTTCTCCCCCACCTCTACTGGTTCTCACAGTCCTACAAAAGGAAACAGGAACTCTCAGAAACAAGAAGATTCAGAAGGTAAACCAAAAGCTTCCTTATCATTAACTTTATCTAATTAGGTAGAATAAATAAATAACTATGTACTTAATAGATTAGCCAGCAGAGGCTGAAAATCTCAGGCTACCAATCCAAAAAAGCTTTAGCTCTAAGATGTGGCCCATGAAATTTAAGAACCATGAAAAAGTAACCAAAGCTTTTATTTATAAGTCTTATTCTTTAACTATACATAAATTTAATTTCAGATGTATCATAGACATAAACATAAAAGATAAAATTATAAAGTTTGTAGAAGATAGCATAACGTATATATTCACAACTCGGGGGCAGGAAAAAAATTTTAGAAAGGATATGTGAGATTGAGCACCGTGGCTCATGCCTGTAATCACAACACTTTGGGAGGGATAATTGTTTAAATCCAGGAGTTCAAGACCAGCCTGGGCCACATAGTGAAACCCTGTTTCTATAAAAAATAAAATTAGTTGGGCATGGTGGTGTGTGCCTGTAATACCAGCTACTTGGGAGTCTGAGGTAGGAGGATCACTTGAGCCAGGGAGGTCAAGGCTGCAGTGAGCCAAAATCGCACCACTGTACTCCAGCCTGGGCGATAGAGTGAGACTCTGTTGGAAAAAAAAGAAAGAGATAATATGTGAAACGATAGCAATTTAAATAATTGACAAATTACACTTTATCAAAATTTAAAACTTCTATTTATTAAAATACACATTAAAAGAAAATTAATAGACAAGCCATAGACTGGAGGTAATATTTATGAAACATATGTCTGACAGAGGACTTGAATCCAAAATATACAAAGAACTCCTACAACTCAATAACAAACAAAACAAACTATTGTAATTTTAAATGAGCCAAAAGTCTTAATCTGTAATAATTGTCTGCTTCACTGATTCAAATAGTTTCAATTTAGTGGAGGAAATAGCTTTTTTTTTTTTTTAATGAAGTGGGAAGAGTTGATTTAAACAAACCTGACTAAGCACCACCTGGTGGCAGAGATTTTGAATTGCAGCTTGAGTTTTTGTGGGATATTTTTTAAAGGTAAAGTTTGAACAGTGAATCTGCAGAAATAGACTTGAAAACAGTAAGAAATTCTAATAAAATGGCAGCCAAATTAAATTTTACCACAGTAAAACTGAAACAAAAGAGCAAAGTCAATTCATCTGTGCACTGAAATATCTATTGATATTATAAGATAATGATATAACATAATATCCAGCCAAATATTTATTTGGTAGAATTTTAATTGAATATTAATACAATACATATAAGTTGGCTATTTGTGTGCCAGGTATTCAACATGTAGTATTGCATTTAATCTTCCTAAGAACTCTGTAAAGTACAGGACCACTCCATAGAATATTTCCATGGTTAAAATTTCCCAGTAGAATATATCTTTATTTTTAATAACCACACCTCATAGAACATATTTATCTCTCAGTACAACATTTTTCTGAGTCCCCTCCCAAAAGTGAAAAAGGATTGAGAAAACTATGGAAAAACAAGTAAAGTCAGTAAGAAAAATGTTTACAATGGAAGAGAAAGTATTACTTAACAGAAAGAAACTTTTTGTTAATAACTATATTAGTTATGATCAAAAAGTAATACTATTTATTTATTTATTTATTGAGACAAGAGTCTCACTCTGTCACCCAGACTGGAGTGCAATGGTACAATCTCAGCTCACTGCAACCTCCGCCTCCCGGGTTCAGGTGATTCTCCCACCTCAGCCTCCCGAGTAGCTGGGTTTGCAGGCATCCATCATCACACCCAGCTAATTTTTGTATTTTTGTAGAAATGGGGTTTCACCATGTTGGCCAGGTTGGTCTTGAACTCCTGACCTCAGGTGATCCACCCGCCTCAGCCTCCCACAGAAAGTAACATTTTAAGTAACTATAACATAACAGTATTTTTTGTTTTATATATACCTATGAATTTTACTGTGCTTTATTGAGTTTTAAGAAGTTGCTGCAGATCTTATAACGCACTGTAATTTTTTTCCAATTAAAAATAATTAAAAGTAGGTTCCCTGTTAGTGTTTTCAGGGGGAGCCTCTACGTTAAGCAGTAGATGCCTGTGTAGTATTATGCTATACCACCTTATATATGAGACCCAAAGAGATTAAACCATTTGCCCAAGCTCCCAGGGCTTGGAAGTGGAGGCGTGACAGCCTGACTCTGAAGGCTGTGTTCTAACCACCCTGAGACACTGCTTCTATTGTGGCTTTGCTTGTATCACACAAATGGTATGTGCCATAGGTCAGTGCTTCTCAAAGTTCTTGGTCAATAGGTTATTAGGTTGAATGTTACCAGTTTGATGTTACCTAAAAGGGAGTTCTGTGGCTAATTAGATTTGGGAAATACTAAGTTTAATGAAATAAAGCATGTTACTTTACTTTTTGCAGCCAAATGTGCACTGTGATTCTCTAAGGTTGGTAGATGAAGAAGGCGTTAGCATTTCCCAGACTTATTTGTATGAGATTTGTATAGATTAAGAATGTAGGCTGGACGCGAAGGCTCATGCCTGTAATCCCAGCACTTTGGGAGGCTGAGGCGAGAGGATCGCTTGAACCCAGGAGTTTCAGACCAGCCTGGAAAACATGATGAGACCCCTGTCTCTACAAAACAATACAAAAATTAGTTGAGCATAGTGGTATATGCCTGTGGTCGCAGCTACTTGGGATGCTGAGGTGAGAGAATCACTGGAGCCCAGGAGGTCAAGGCTTCAGTGAGCTGTGATCACACTACTGCGTTCTAGCGTGTGCAATAGAGTGAGACCTGTCTCAAAAACAAAACAACAACAAAAAATGTGTCTGGCAGCATAAAACATATAACATACATATGCTATTTATGTATGAGTGTCCATATGTCTGTAAATATGCCTTATGAAATACCACCAATGTGCATTTATTTGACTCACACAACAAGACGTCTGGGGCAGGGGAGCCTAGGGTCAGGCTCCTTTCTCTTTTCCTTTCTGTTCTGTTCACAGCAAGCTGGCATTCACTGCCATGCTTGTCAGTTCATACACACCAGATTTTGCTGCACCTCCAGGCTTTACAGCTGTATTCCACAAAGGAAGAAAAAAGAAAGAAGCAGTGCCAGCACTCCCACTTATAATTCATTGACCAACACAGTGGCATAAAGGCCACCCTGTAGGACCACCCCAGCTGCAGGGAGCCTGTGAATTAGGGTTTTTACTTTTAAGCCTCTGTATCAGTGAGTTCTGATGTAGATAAATTGCAAAAGTTGATTCTCACTCACATAATATGTCATCAGCTGCAGGTTGGCTGCAGTTCTGCTCAATATGTCTTCTTTATTTGGGGGCTCAGACTGAAGGATCAGCCCCTCTCAGGCCATGCCCTTCTCATGGCGGAGGGAAAAAGGAGGTGGCAGAACCATGTGATTGCTGTTGAAGACACACTCAAAAGTGGCATTTGTTACTTTCCCCACATCCCATTGGCCAAAAGAAGTCACATGCCAATGCGGATGTAAACAGGGCAAGGAAGCACAATCCTCTTACAAAAGGGGTCACAGATATATATATCAATATAATCTTTCCTAATATAATAAAAGCAGGCAAATGAGAATAGGTGAGGAAATGGAAGTTGAGTCATCAACCTGGTTGCTACAGATCACACACACGTGCTCTAGCTTTTCATTTGCTTTTAGAGCATTTCACAGGACAAGTATTCACATCCTTTGGGAACTATAGTTTTGAGCCACATCAAGTCTTGTTTTTTGTTTTGTTTTTTTTTGTTTTGATAGGGTCTTACTCTATCGCCCAGGCTGGAGTGCGGTGGCATGATCTCAGCTCGCTGCAGCCTCGACCTCCTGGGCCCAGGTGATCCTCCCATCTCAGCCTCCATGAATAGCTGGGACTATGGGCACACACCACCATGCCCAGCTAGTTTTTGGATTTTTTGTAGAGATAAGCTTTCGCCATGTTTCCCAGGCTGGTCTCAAACTCCTGGACTCAAGTGATCTGCCCATCTCGCCCTCCCAAAGTGCTGGGATTACAGGCATGAAGCACTGCACCTGGCCATTGTCCTTTTCATAAAATAACTATCTATAGAAAAATTCTGGTATAAAATATTCTTTAATATGTGAATTATGTCAGAGAATATTACTAGACAGGTTGTATCTTGCCATATGTTAAAATCCACCTTTAAATCAAGGTGATATACATGAGCAAAGCTTATTTTTAAGCCAGGAGAATTTCAGAAAATGCAGTCATGTATAGTTATTAAAATTATTTTTTTCTTCTGAATCAGGTGCTATCATATCATGCAACATGTTCAAAAGCTGAAGTTGACAAGTTTAAGGTAAGGAAGAAGATGGTTTCCTTATTGGTGCTTACAGTTAAACTTCTCTTGGCTTCCTGAGCTCTGCCATTTGCCTCTAGAGAATTAATCCTGCTCATTGGGAGCTGGAGGACCAGCACTGGGCAAAGGTGTATTTGTATATTTCTGTTTTAGAGGGGAAGAGGGGCTTATATATAACTGAGTAGTCATTTTGTAATCATTTACATGATTCAGTATTTCTTCCCATTTATTAAGAAAGCACAGTATCAGGGGAAAAAATCTGTAATATGGTGAGAGTCAGGACACCTGGTTTTGGCATCGGTTTTACCTCTAATTTGCTGTTCAGTTAAAAACTTAGGGCTGTATTTCCATCTGTAAAAATATATGACCAGATTGAGATAATAATAGCTAACACTGTGTGCCAGACGCACTACCAGGCATTTTACCTGCATTAATTCGTTTAATCCTCACAATCCTGTGAAAAGCAAACTGTTTTACAGATGAATAAATGGAAGCACGGAGATGCCAGGCCACGGTCAAACAATTGTAAGAGGTGTAGCAATCTGGCCCCAGAACTGGAGTTCTTAACCACCGTGCTTCCCTACCGCACAGGGTGATCCCCTTTCAACTCCAACATCTGATGAGTCTATGAATGAGTGTTAGATATTCCTTATCACCTTAGTTACTACCATTTCCTTAAGTGCAATTCAGAATTCTTGCTTGTGTCCCTGCACTCCTACCAGGCAGTTTAACAATGAGCAAAACACTGGAGTAAAGGGAAATTGATTTCCTTTCCTTTTGAAAGTTTTGGTGCCTGTCTTTTTACGTATAGGTGGCGGTTCAGAAAATTATCAGGAAAAGCTACCACAGTCATGAGAAAGATCATGTTTTGTATTGCAATATTAGAATGTAATATCACTTGGTGATGGCTACTTTTCTAAGAGTCCCATTTGCATATATATGGTGCAGAGACCATTGGGCCTAAGAATTGAATCAGATCATTAGAACTGAGCACATGAATGATGAAAGGGAGCAAAGGAAGATGTTTGTTCCAAACACTGAGCGTAGGGATAAAAGAACTCCTTGCAAGGGCCAGAAGCAGCACATATACTGTGAGCATAGGAACTACTTGGGCTCCATCCAAGGGGATAGGGTCTATTATTGACTTAAAGAGATGCTTTGGGGAAAGACCTACAATTGTAACACAGATAAAAAGGGAGAGATAAGGTGACAGCTGACAGCAGAGGGAGGAGACAGAACAACTAAAACCACAGCAGTCAGGGCCCATTTGTTGCAGAGGAAACCATCCTGCATACCAGCTTGAACTCAAGCTCCATCAGGACAGCACTAATTGTATGTTTTATTCACTGCTGTATCTCTCCTTCCTTTTATGGTCCTTGGGATATAGTAACACTCAATAAATACTTGTTGAATGGATGAATGAATGGATGGATAAGTGAATGAATAAATAAATCCAAAGAGTACCAATGGTTCTAGTACTCAAAGCAATTAGTCATTAATTTTAAAATGGTGATAATATATAATTATTTTATATATTTCATATAAATTTTACTTAATGTATATAAATTTTATAAATATTTTCATCAAAAATATTTAAACCTTTTTTATTTTAGCCAATAAAGTTCAATTATTCAGAAATCCTGTTTATGAAAATATCCAATTCCTGCTAAAATGCTCATATAATGTTTATATTATATTTTTGCTGTTATAATTATCATCATTGCTAAAAGAGGGAAGTGGTAGGCAAGAAGAAAGACAGCAAAGATGATAATATGAGCTTTGACTCATATGACCAAATATGACTGCAAGAGCTGCCCAGAGATATAGCAGGCCAAAATCCATAGTCGTTTACTTTTTTTTTCTTTTGAGACAGAGTCTGGCTCTCTGTCACCCAGTCTGGAGTACAGTGGCACAACCTCGGCTCACTGCAACCTCTGCCTCCTGGGTTCAACTGATTCTCCTGCTGCAGCCTCCCAAGTAGCAGGGATTACAGGCACACATCACCATGCCCTGCTAATTTTTGTATTTTTAGTAGAGACGGGGTTTCACCATGTTGGTCAGGTTGGTCTAGAATTCCTGACCTTGTGATCTGCCTCCCAAAGTGCTGGGATTACAGGTGTGAGCCACTGCGCCCAGCCTAGCTGTTTACTTTCTAAAGGCACCAACATTCAGGCTTAATATTTTGCTTAAAGAAAACATTGCCCTGGAATTTGGTATGCATTTCTATTGTTAGCTCACAAATATACTAAATATGAAGTATTTAAATTTGAGAAAAAAGGGTTATTTCATCTTAAAATTATCAAGATTGATAATTTAACTGATTTACTCTAGATTTTATCATGAAAGATATTAGCTAGTATCCTATTACAATGTAATTGAGATATAATAGATCATTTTAACCATTTTAAAATGGGAGTTTTCTTGATATATACAGTAAATAAAACATTATTCTGATTGGTAGTTGATGTCTGTTATAACTGCAGCAATAACATTAAAATGTAGTGGGCTTAAAATAATCCTGCACGTAGACAGTGAAAAGCGTTTACTGAGATTCCAGGCTGGAATACATGCAATGGCAGTTTTCTAACATTGTAGCTAAATAACAGTAAATATGTGCTTTGTTTTGACCAATATATATGACAAACCATGTTTACGTTCAAGTATATTGTCATTCTTCCTGTCTTCAGTACTTTTTTAACAAAGATGATTGTAAAAAATTTTTTTAAAATGTGCAATGATTTGAAGTCTGGAATCATAGTTATCCATGAGATTTCATGAGTTAAAGCAGGGGTCCTCAACCCAGGCCATGGACTGGTACTAGGCCACACAGAAGGAGGTGAGCAGCAGGTGTGCAAGCATTACCACCTGAGCTCCACCTCCTGTCAGATCATCAGTGGCATTAGATTCTCATAGGAGCGCAAACTCTATTGTGAACTGCACATGTGAGGGATCTACGTTATGTGCTCCTTATGAGAATCTAATGCCTGATGATATGAGGTAGAACAGTTTTATTCCAAAACCATCCCCACACCCCCACTCCTCCCAGGTCCATGGAAAAATTGTCTTCCATGAAACTGGTCCCTGGTGCCAAATAGGATGAGGACCACTGAGTTAAAGGATGGCTGAGTCCCAATGTATTGGACTATACCCAACCAGACTAGTGATCAGTGATTCAGAGCTTAAGCCAGAGTTTGGGAAGAAACTGATTCATCCAGTGCTGACAAAAATCTGGAGGTCAAATTTTACACACATACGTATGACAGACTTCAGTTGGAACCCAAGCTGCACCACATCTGGGATGCAGAAATGTCTGGGAGACAAGTGAGTTGTAGTTATTTATATGAGAGACTAACAGGCCTTCTGAGTCAAGAACTCTTCCTCATGAAAGTTAAGGCTACAGACCTCAGTGTCTAGATGATTCCAAGTTCAGCATGAAGTTTTTACCTTGGATTTATCCCTCACCTCAGCCTCCCATGGATCCATGTTCTTAGCTGAGAATGTGAGTAAACACAGAAGGCATGGACTTTGGTATAGTTTCAGTGCATTAAATGCTCCTGATAGAATGAGGGTCAGCATGCCAACAGCACACAACAGAAGGCAGCAGCCTAATGAAGGAAGCATCACTACGGACCCGTGGCAGGGCCTCTTCCTACCTGTGTGACCAGCAGAAGCTGATGGCATCGATGGAATCAATGCAGGCTCAGTGGTCACATTTTAAGGACAGGTAAGGTATACCCTGAGTACTCCCAAATATAAGTAGGAGAGATGGAGACTCTGTACTATTGGAGAATGTGATATATACACGATTAATTATACTCTTAGTTTGGTACCATTTGTACTCAGAGATTGTGGGGTCTACAGGAAGATTGATTTCACATAAGACAAACCTGTAGTGAATCTTTAATAATCATTAATGCTAGGCTGATGCCATCTTAGCCTTCCTCATATCTGGTCTTCCTATTTCACACCCCTTTATGTTTTGGGATTTTCTCCCCCTATTCTAGAATGCCTTGTTAGGGGGAGCATTGTTGTTCTGTTTTATTCTGATAACCCTATTACTTCTGTTGGGAAAAATTTCCTTGAGGAGTGTGTAGTAGTGATGGCTGAGAGAATGGGATTAGAGTGTGAAAACCTTTCTAGAAGTGTCCTTGGACTGTCCAGCAAGAATAAATTAGATAAAACAACATATAATTACTCATCCAAGAATGTCAGAATTTGGGTTTATTTTTCCTGATTCTGATATATCATTTATACTTCAAGAAACAGTCTTTCTTGTAGGTTCACCTATACACAAAAAGATCACAGAACTTCCTGGAACTAATGAATTAACCATTTTGAAAGTCTGATTCAATAAATTATCCTTTATGGGTTGATTGTCCTGTGCATCTAATGAGGAAACCAGGATCTAAAAAATGGTTTTTAATCCTCATTAACATTTACTGATCTTCCATGAACTTGAAATAAGAAAGTTATATGCAGAAAATTTGTGCAGATTTTAGTGAATGTTTATATCTCTGCAGCTCTGTGCTAACAGGAATAATGTATAAAGACCATATTGACAATTACATCTCCTTGAAGATGGCTGGTTTAAAGGCTTTCAATAACCTAAAGATGCCAGCTGTGATAACATAAGAAAATGAGTTTAGTACCCCAATTATATGCTCCCGTAATTTTATGGACTTTCCTTAGATTCCAATGCGGTGGACAGACCAAACAATTATCACTATATATTGCTAGTTTACCAATTAAAATCAACTCATGGACGTTGTGGTGTTATATTGCCACCTTGTATCATCCCTTCCTTCAATTGAGAACTGCATGGGTTACGGCTGCAATCAGAGATGAACTCATTTACAGCACTATAACTGCCTCAGTAATTAAGCACCAATAACTCAGGTTGGGGTTTGGGTTTGGACTACCTCATATGTATTTCAGGTTTTCAATGTTAATGCCTAGGCCACAAATTAATATCCTGGTAAATAAAATAAAATAAAATAAAA